AAGTCTTCACAGAATGTTGGCAGGTCTATCTGTCTGCCTGCTTTTCTCCTTTAGCTACCTGCTCTTACCTACAACTAGTACAGAAAGAATTGCGAACGTGACCTGTTTTGAACACACTGTCTTTATCTTCTCGCTCTAACTGGCTTTCCTCTACTATGGCTTCCACGGGAGCCCTCTCAGGCAGGGGTTCCTTTTCCCCCAGGCCATTTTTACCACCGGCCCTAGAAAAATAATGTGAATAATTTCTAGGAACTGCTAGTTCATTCAAGATTTTAGCTCCGAAATCGGTCACTAACGCTTACAAGACTGTCGTCTTAGTTCTTGGTCATTTCAGTACCCACACAGACACAGTCCGGCTCTCCTTGGCTTAGCCCCTTTACCTCACTGAGCTCTCCCATGCTCCCACACTGGCCTGCACACGGGCAGTACTGATATCTGCTCTTTCTATGATTTCATTTGCTCTTTTGAATTTACTTACGTTTTCCATGAGGAGGGAGACAGGACCCACAAGGAGTTCTCATACCATGCCCTGATCCCCAGCCTCCATAAACCCGGGTCACGAGCACGTGCACACTCAGTGTGCACAGGGAGCCCTCCGGACACACACCGGACCTTCCACGTCCTCCCGCACAGTGGAGTGTGTCGTTACCGCTGTACCACCATGGCTGGCCTTTAACACACACTCAGCAATCCCATTGTAATAATCTCTAGCATTGTAGCTAAAACTGAAGCCAAAATATTTATTTAGGTGATGATACGTGATATCTATTATTCACATATTACTACATCAAAATATTCTCATTCTGGAAATAAAGTTATGACGTCACCTCCTGTCTTTTCAGCTCATGCGCTCCCAATTCTCTGATCTCACTAAGACATAAAACCTATGGTCCGACTTCCTTCTTGCTCACCTTCCTTGCCTTCACGCCCCCGTGAAATACCTGGGTCCGTCACAATGAGCACTCCTCTGCACATGTCTCGGTTTTCTCTGTCTTGCCTCCCCTACTCTCCTGTTCTCAGAAAGACCTGACCCTGGCTAACCTCGGCCCCTTCCATTCTGTGCCTGTGATGCAGTTGGGACTTTTACCTGAACTACAGCGTCTTGGCCTTGGAGGAAACCACAGAAGTCAGGTCTCTCTGACATCTCCCCCCTTCATCCCCAAAGCAGGCCACAGAAGACGTTTCTGACCTTCGTCTAGAGTTGGTGAAAAAGCCTTCCTCCCATAGATGATCTTCCATAGAGACGTGCTTACCTTTGTGAACAGACAACAGAATAATAGGAGGAAACAGGCCTTGCTAAACCCTCCCGCTGGTTGGTATTAGATTACACCCTTCTGTTCCCATGCTTACTTCTGCACAACTGTCCACTCTGCATCAAACTTAGCAAAAAACACTGATTACTTTGGGTCTTCATTTCTGAAGGCTCCTGGGTCCCACAAAACTTACATTAAATAAATTTCTATACATTTTATACCTTTTCCAACCTTAGTGGACTTGCCGAGAGCTCCCACCATGCATCCCCATCCGCCTCACATTATGTCACATTTGTCATCCTTCTTGTATTTTTGGATGAACTACAGTGGTTCTGCTTTGGTCTAAATGTTAGTGTTCCCCAAAATTCACACGTTAAAAGCCTAACTCCTAAGGCATTAGGAAGCGGGGTCTTTGGAAATGAATACTAGGTCATAAGGCCAGAGCCCTCCAGAAACAGGGCTTCTGCCACGTGACCTTACAGTGAGAAGATAGCCATCTCTGAATGGACGTGGGTCCTCACCACACGATGAATCTGCTAGCATCCTGACCTGGGACTCACAGCCTTCAGGACGGTGAGCAGTGCATTTCTGTTCTTTATAAACGCCCATCTGAGTCGTTTTGTTGTAGCAGCCTGAACGCACTGATACATTCCTAAGGCAAAGTCCCCACCCTGGCCTTCCCCTGTTCTAGGAAACTGGTCCAGCAACTATCCATTTCTTTCACGTGTCATCAAATTTTGCCTCTACACTAGTTAGCATTGAAATAACACCATGCTAAAGCAGCTCGACTCCGCATACCTCCAAGTGCTTGTCCCAGTTCATCACCTCTTGTTCTCTTTGGAACCCCTCTCCTCATGCTTTCGCTTTAGCCACTCCACTAAAACTATTTTTGCTGAGATTGCCAAGGACTTCCAAACTGCTAAGTTCAGTAGTCAATTCTCAGTCCCCATTTTTCTTGGCCTATACCACTGTTTTTGACACAGCTGAACAGGCCTGCCTCTTTGATCTTATTCATTTGGCTCAAGGATATCACATTTGGGCCAGCTGGTAGCATAGGGGTTAGGATGGACCGATCCCACATGGCTGACTGGGCAGTTTGAGTCCCAGACCTGGCAGCTTGAGAAACAGGCCAGTCTCTCTAATGTGTGTACCCAAAATCCCAAAAGAAGGGAGAAATAGAGAAGGGATTGCAGCATGACAGTCCCCCATGGGGAGAGTGGTTTCCCGCTTTTCCTGTTTCTGTCTCTCTGTGGTGAGCATACGTGCACACTGGCAAATGAAATAAATATATGACATTCGCTTCTTTATTCTCATACTCTTCAGCCACTCCTTCCTGGTCTCCTTCTTGGGTCATGCCTCTTCTCTCAATTTCTAACAGTAGAAACTTGAAATGATTATATACCAATTATAATGTTGAAATATTGTGGCTATTTTAATATTTTTTAAAAATACAATTATTGGAGACCAGCAGTTAACATTATGGCTATGTCACTGGACTCCCCTGTAGCTGACCGTGGTTTGAGTCCTGGATTCGGTGGCTTAAGCTCATGCTGGGCACGTGTTTGTGCATGCTCAAGACTCCAAGAGGAGGATGAAAGAGAAGGGATTGCAGCGTGGCCATACCCCCTGGGGGGGTGATTTCTCACTTTCTGTCTCTGTGTTTGTCTCTGTCTTTCTGGCGAGCGCACGCACCCAAGCAAAAACCTCTCAAAAAAAAAAATCCAATTATTCTAAAAAAATGGAATTTAGGATTTATAATAAAACTAACATTTGTTTTTGTTGGCTTTTAAAAAAATCTATTAAAGGGATCAGCAGTTGGCATAATGGTTATGTCAGTGGACTCTCATGTAGTCAACTGCAGTTCAAGTCCCAGACACAGTGGCTTAAACTCATGTGCATGCGCGTGCATGCGCAAGATCCTGAGAGGAGAATGGAGAAGGGATTGCAGCATGGCCACCAAGGGGTGATTTCTCGCTTTCTGTCTCTCTGTCTCTCTCTGTCTTTCTGGAGAGTGCACATGCCCTGTAGCAAAAGCCTCTTAAAAATCAATTAAAATATAATTCTTCATGTTTTTATTACAAAGATATAGCTTTATCATATAAAATGTGGACTAGAAACAATTTGTCTATCACTTATAAATTTACTATACAATGTTAGCATTTTGCAATGTCATTTTTGAGGCTCCTTTCTATCATGACAATTATTCCTTTATAGACAGGCAAGTGTTTGAATAATGTAACTAATGACATCTGCTTGTTCTCTGAAAGTTTAATCTTAGACCCATTACCATCAGAATTTTCTATGAGAATAAGAACTAATGAAAAGCAAAATAGTTCACGAATAAGTGGCATTTTAAAATCACGCACAAGCGATATCTATTATTCACATGGCTATTTAGTCCTTTTATATACCTGCTTTGTTCTTATTTTGCAAAATGTCATATGTTTGATTATCGGGTTTCTTGGACCGAAATATTCTCGAAATAGCAAATTCAAACTAAGGGACAAAGTGACATCCGTGCAGCCACGCTGACAGGGAGTGAGAGGGAAGCTCCGTGAAAATGAGGAGACAAAAGCGCATAGAGGCGGCGGATGGACAGAGCACAGCAGAACGAGACCCTTGTGTGTGGGAGGAAATGGCACCGAGCGACTCCGTTGCTCAGGACACGAGTTGTCGCCTTCAGTAAAAACCAGGGAACGACGTCAGACAACAGCTGGGCTAGGGTATTCTGCAGTCCAGGTAGTAGGAAGTATGCCAGATAGTTAAAGAAAATAACAAAGTATTAAATTTCAACTACTAGGGTTATTTGGCTATTTAAAATGACCCATTTCTGAAGGATTACAGTCCTACTTAAGCACTACAGTTAAAATGCGGACTTGCATGAGTAGTAACTGTCTACAAATCGTTCTTTAAAGACGTGACGAGAAGAGGTGTGGCTCGAAGAGGAAGACGGTGAGCATGTGAATCACAGTAACCTCCCCTTGTCTTTGCTTAGTGACACACTAGGAGGCTTATTACTACTGGGGGGGGGAAGGAAACAGTGAAGCATAAAGGAATTGAAATAGAGAATTGGGGGGGGGGGAAACGACACAGTGAAGCATAAAGGAATTGAAATAGAGAATGTGGAACTAAGGGCCTGGTTTTCTCCTCCTCTTCTCAGATCTAAGACCTGAACCAACATCTGAGTCTAATGTTCTAATGTGCTGTCAGCCTCAAAGGAACCAACCCCAAAGGAGAGCTTCTGGTCCAGCCTTGTTTGGACCTGTTGGGTGTTAAATGTAATGCTTTAAAATAAATAACTAAATTAATAATAAGACAAATCCCTAATTTTTAGGAGGAGCCATTAAATAGTTCATGGAAAATGGAATTAAAGTATAGGTTTATTTTGGTGCAAATTTTTTTTGGAAATCTATGTACATTCTTTAGTATTATGTAGATTCCATAAACTTTAAAAGACCTCTTGTATTATTCCATATGGTACCTATAAGTAATAACAGAAACTTAGACTTTCAGATCTCGGATAAAAGAAAGCAGTTTAACCATACGTGAAAATTTGATCCTTGGCCATATGTTCACGCATCTCATGGCATGGCAGCTAAAATTTCTCTAGCACCTTCTCACAGCCACCTTCTGCAGGGCCAGAGGCACAGGGTTGCATAGCTGATATACAACTGCATCCATTCTTTGCCGAAAATTATATGAACAAATTTTCATTTGCTAAAATGAACATAATTTGTAAAAAATTACCTTTAAGGCTGTTTTGAACTTCCAGAGCTATATCAAGAGCATTAAAGGGCAAAACGGGTTCGTTGGCGATTTGTAAAATCACTTCTCCTGAAAGCTGAAAGAAAAAAGAAAAAGAAACAAACATCGCTAGCATTCAGTAATTACAGTTTCGTGGGCTCTTTCTCATTATTTCACACACTTTTATACATCCAGAGCGGCAGAGACAAGGAGGGAATGGAACATTTTATAAACTCTTTTTACTTCAAACCCCCTTTTTAGTTTTATCTTTCTAAAAGGGGGAAAAAAAAAGGGCTAATATTTTCCATGTCTCAAAATACTATAACGAAATACACGTTTTTTTCCTTTCTCAAGCTAGAATATTATGAGATGGCTTTCCTAATCGAAGGGGTTGTAATATTAGGACTTTAAAATAATTTTTACAGTTGAACATATGATCAAACAGTAGAAAGGAAAAACTGGAAAAAAAATCAATGTCTGGTTATGGTATTAAGTAAAATCCAAACAAAACTAATGGCAATTTATTTTATTTAATGTAATTTAATCTAAGAAGAAATTTCCCTAAAACCTATGTACTATTTTCCTTAATGCCTTACTCTCTTTCTAATCACTTGTCCAAAGTTTATCAAAACTAATACTATTTATATAAGTTTGAGATCAATGTTCAAATTAAATTAAAAAATAAAATTGTACATGTTATCCCCAGAGGCTTGCACCTAGACTTTGTGTACATACCTTCGCCCCCTCTACCTCCCCAAAACCTTACACCTTCACAACTCTGAAAAGCAGCGAAGGCACCACAGTGGGACTAGTGTCTGTTTAATAGGCTGACAAGTCATATGCACTCATATACATCCCAAAGGACCTGAGGACTGGCAGCAGATGCAACTGGTAACTCTCTTTATCCTTCAAGTGATATCTTTTTGGAGAGGTTTTTGCTATAGGGCACATGCACTCACCAGCAAAACAGAGAGAGACAGAGAGACAGAAAGCGAGAAATCATCCCCCAGGGGGGATCGCCACTTTGCAATCCCTTCTCCTCCATTCTCCTCTCAAGATCTGGGGCACGCACGCACACCTACCCAGCGTGAGTTTAAGCCACTGGGTCTGGGACTTGATCTGCCATCAACTACGTGGGAGTCCAGTGAAACAGTCATTACGCCAACTGCTGGTCCCTCACAAGTGATACTTAATATTTACCTGGGCTTAACGAATGTCCCTACATTTCTTTTTTTTTTTTTTTGGAGACATTTTTGCTATAGGGCGCGTGCATTCGCTAGACACACAGAGAGAGACAAAGAGATAGAAAGCGAGAAATCACCCCCCAGAGGGTATGGTCACGCCGCAATCCCTTCTCCTCCATTCTCCTCTCGGGATCTTGGGCACGCACGCACATGCGTCCGGCGTGAGTTTTAAGCCACCGGGTCCGGGACGCGAACCGCAGTCGACTACGTGGGAGTCCAGCGACATAGCCATTATGCTAACTGCTGGTTCCCAAATGTCCCTACATTTCTAAGAGCCACGGAGCTGTCATATGGGGAAATATAACTGTATTGATGTTATTAACACACTCTGAAACATCATTTGTGAATAAAAGTATTGTCTTGGGAAAATTAGCATGTCAACTTCACACAATATAGAACACATAAAAGATATCATTTAGAAGAAAAAATATGTACATATTCAACAAGGGCCCCAAACCATTTAATATCTAAAATTTACATTTCTCTATTGTTTGCTCAATATGTGTCATGATAAAAACACAATTTAACTTGATCTATATGCTTGGGAAAATGTGTTTCTTGGAAACAAAGAGGAGAAAGAACCACCTCTGATACTTCTTCGTTCCTCTGAGGCATTTTTCTCCAAATGTAAGAAGCACTTCTTCCGCAATGCCAAGCTGTCTCTGCAGCCTTTATCTCCAGCACAACCATCGCAAACCCCTGGGCAACTGCCTATTCGAGTCAGTCTGTACTTCCAGAAGAGAATTGCCTGCCATCCAAATCATGCTAGGAGGACTGGTTTTTGGAATAAGTTATTTGTAAAAAGGAATTTTAGGAAAAGATTAAGAAGTATTATCTCTTTCTCCAATTTGCACTGGATAATAGACACTACAGAACAGCGTGTTCCTTTACACTTTAAGAATCTGGAAACCACATGACAAAAGATTAAAATGAAAGAATGAGAGGGAGCAAAACAGCAACTTCTCTTTATGCTGCTGGAGAAAGTTGTTTTGTTCTTTTTCTTAAAGTCATTTGGCAGCTCCAACAACTGGAGTATAAATCAACCACCTTGCTATTTCTTACAAAAAGAAACTGGCAACCATCATTGGGACTTTCAGGGCACCTGGCCGACAATCCTGCTCAAACTAAACCGGCTTTATTCGCAGCTTCAAAGGCAGAAGAGAGATTTGTACACCCTTGCCATGCAGCAGGGGTGGTTGAGGCACTGCACACGCTTCTTGCCCACGCTGGAATTCAGTCTTTCTTAAGCATTTCTGAGCAATTTTCCTTGACATTTACATGAGGCCTTATTCTTTTCAAAGGGCTTTATGGCTTCATGTCTCATTTCATTATTCTGACAATCTTAGAGGCAGGTGGGGGGGGGAGTAATATCCTGTGTTAAAAACATTGAGAATTGGCTTCACTGAGAACACATAGTTAATAATAAACGGGAAAGCCAAAATCTCAATATATCAAGTTTACTAAGAGTCTATAAATATCAGAAGCTGTTTAGGAATTTTCAAACATGGTTCTCTTTCATTTTCACAGCAGCTCGGTGAGGCAGGAATTATTATGCTCATATGATAGAGAAAGAAACTGAGGCTCACAGAATTTGCTAAGATGCTTAAGTCACATACCTTAGTCTAACTATAGTGGAGGTCTATACTATATTTTTTTCTGTAATATGAGGTTCATTTCAGGATCTATCAAAAGGCTCTCAGTTGGTTGTTCGTGGAGAACTAAAACTAAGCTCTAAATCTTTTACTTCCTGTTCAGTATTCTTTGCAATATTCTACTGTATTTCCTGGTAGGAAAACCAATCTGTGTATCTTGTATTATCAGCCAATCCCTGTAGTACTCTGGATGGCAATGACATTTGGATCCCTGTGGCCCATAACATCAGCAAATAGCTCTTCAGTATCTGAGGAAGTCCACTACAGTATCTTCAGAAGCACACAATCTGCCTTGAGAGGCCTTATAAGACTCTGTTCTCCCTTCTGAATTCTTCTCAGACCACCCTACTCCTGTTCAGAAAATAAAGGAAGAGTGAATTAGAAAGAAAAAAGTTGAATATGGAAGTAAAAATGTCAGGTCATATGGTGAGCTGGTTAAGGCAGCTGGATCCTATATGGCTGACTGAGAGGTTCCCAGAGGCTTGAAAATCATGCCATGCACGCATGTACATACATGTGCCCCAAATCCTAAAGGGAGAATGGAGGAGAAGGGATTATGGCGTGGCCACCCCCTTGGGGGGTGCCTTCTCACTTTTCCTTTCTCTCTGTCTCTCTCAGGCAAGCACACATACCCTACAGCAAATTTTAAAAATAATTTTTAAATATAAAAAGTATTGCTATATCAAAAATGAATTAAAGGATGTTTCATTGCAAAGGCTTTTCTCACTCACTAAATAACACTGACAGTCCCAGAGCTAGTGGTCTCATTGGTGTTAGGCAAAATCCACTTGTTGGAAGACAGAACCTCCTTCTAGATTGTGGGGTACCAAATATGCCACCTCACAATTTCCTTCTTTTGGATATTTTGAGGTGACTACTCAGAGGGGCTACAGGTACAGAATTTGCTTTTTTTAAAATGTGAGCCTTTATCCAATCAATTCACTTCTATTTATATAAAAGTAAAGTGAGGAAGAATGCAAATGAGTTTTTACTGTTTCCCTTTGACTGCCTGGGTACAGGTTGAGGAGGATTTAAAACATTTATATTAGTTTTTTTCTTTTTTTTTTTTAGAAAGATAATTTTGCTATAGAATGTGTGTGCTCACCTGAGACACAGAGAGAGACAGAGAGAGAGGAAGCAAGAAATAATCCCCCCAGTGGGGATGGCCACACCAAAATCTCTTCTCCTCCTGGGATTTTGGGCATGCACACACACATGTGCCCAGTGTGTTTCAAGCCACCAGGTCTGGGACTCAAACCACCATCAGCCATGTGGGAACCCAGTGATGTAACTATTACACCATCTGCCAGTCCCAGGTAGAGGAGGACTAAAGTTCTGTCACCGGTCCCAGTAATGGGACAATCTCTACTTATTTTTTTGAATCACCATTTCAAAGCCTAACTCCAAATGCATATGGTAGAAAACCTTCAGTCATTTAGCCATTCTTTAAATCTCGTATTTTGCATGGCTTCTGTGCATAACTGCGTATCATAAATTATTGTGTGCCTTCTTTCTGTTGATCTGGTTATTGTTTATTTCGTAGACTAAAAGCCATAGACCTTTAGAGAAAAGAAAGAGGAAAGTATATAGCTTCTTTGCAAAATTTTAACAGTAAACCAGTTAAATAATTGTCATCCCACATTAAGTTTCTGTTTCTTCAGTCTGAAATATTTTCCATTGTATTTAAAGATTCGAGTGAACATTTTAAGAAAACTTTAAAAAGTCTTTCTCTCACTTACAAACCAGGATTGAAAGAGGAAAAAAATGCTGTTTATTTCCTAAATTATTCAATATGTCTATCTAGAGATTAGTATTTTTCTCACCTTAATTGTTGAAGTCCATTGCTGAGTATGATGACTATATTTGCAATAAATGCTTTGAATTCATTTATCAATGTATGGACAACACCATTTGATAGAAATAGATTCAGTAGACTAATATTACCCCCAGGGGGTCTATAGTGTACTTTCTCTTTATTCCTAAAGAGACGTTACTGAGACGCACTCGGTGAGCACGGTATGGTTTACTCCATTTTTATAAATCCAGATTAAAGTAAGCATAGTTCATACCACCCACTAAAACTGTAAGTCGAACTATCATTGTGGGATGGCTCTTACGTCCTCAGATTCAAAATGCAACAGAGTCTCCCCGAGAAGCTGGCGCTGTGGGAGAGTTAGGGCACCTGTTTGATGGAAATGCGA